TAGAAATCTAGGTTGTGAGATGAGTAATGGTGATGAAGCATTCTTACTCAGGGTAACAGTACGTGCCATTACCATTTCACCGGGTCTGGAAACAGTAGTTAACAGTATATGTATATATATGATATGTGATCCTTACCCTAGCTTGGAGAGTAAAAACGTGGTCTATCAGATAGTTTGCAATAACTGTGGTCGGATATACATTGGCACGATCTGTCGAACGTTGAAAGTCAGATTAACGGAGCACAGTAGAGCCATCGGTTACAGTAACGTTGATCATTCTGGTTTCGTTGCTCATTACCTGGGGAATGGTCATGATTTTAAAGATGGCGACGTAACAGTTGGCCATCGACACCAGGACAGGCTAAAGGTATTAAACAAGGAGTCGCTACACATCGCTGCGGGTAAAAATAGAACTGGCAACGGTTGCGTTGGCTCCATTGACGTTTCCGCAGTGTAGACCATGATTCATGGCCCAATCGGAGCGTCCAGTCAATCGGGTCAATTACCAACTGACTCAGCAGTTTGTCGCCGTTTCGCGTTCGTTACCCGAAGATGACCGATGCAATTTAGTTGAAACGGTGGAATTGTTGTAAAAAAATTTTATCTTGTTTTCTCTTGCTGCCAGCCATAGAATCAGAAGACCTACAGTGATTCGACAGGAAGGAGGGATGAAACACATGCCAAAACTCATCCTTCAAACGAATAGGGTGATTCACACTGCATGGTCGGCTGCAACCAGTATCATAATCTCCAACTTGCTAAAACATGGCAAAACCAACACACCAACAAGGTAATATCGTTAGTCAAATATCTACCACCATCAGTGTCAAATACATGCCGTAGAGAGCATTCATGGACCAAAACGGCCAAATCTTGCATCAGGACAGTGCCGTTTGTCATGTTCCATAAGTCAGTTTCTGAAAACTGACCAACTTTGTTAAGGAACTGTCACTAATCCATCATTCTTTGCACTTCCCTCCACTGGCTATCGCATTTTTCAACATCTTCAAATTTTTCCGGCAGAAGGCCATTTGCTAGCAGCCAAGGTCTTCCAGCAGTTCATTAACATAAGATATTGACACTTTCTCGAGAATAGCCTAAATTCACTTCTGTTCCGCTTACAGGAATGCCAGACTAAAGGGGCATTTGTTTCGATAAAAAACGTTACTTTACTGTAGAATTTGAAATCTTCAAATTGTCGTCAGAAGCCAAAGATCCTCCGCAACAACCTCATAGTACTCGAAAATCACCTCGAGCATCATAAGCTTATTAGCCAACGTCTGAAAACAAACCTGTCGAACAACCCGACTCATATATTCGTTCATAGCGACGGAAAACTTTGAAAATTGTCTATACGTAGCTCACCTGCAATTGAGAATGCCGCAAACCAGTTGTCAGTTTTGCAGGTCCTGCGTCATTAACGTAGAACGCTCTGGCCGTACTAACATATAAATATCGGGATCGTATAAGTTGAG